GGAAGGCTGAGTCAACCCTGAGCTGGTGAGATTTGAACCGCCGAACTGCAGCTAACAGTCAGCTGAAGTAGCCTGCAGTGCTGCACTCTAACCACCGCGCCACCTCGGCTCCTATTTGTTTGTTTCAGGAGTGTGAAGATCTGTCCGTGAATCTCAGAGACTCTGTGCCAAGTCTTCCCTTGAACAGCACTGCATCTGGAAAATATTTATATGGCAGCTTTCCAAGCTAGATAAGGTCTGTGGCCATAACTTCACCTTTGAAAGACTGTTTACCAAGCCTTTGCTGAATGTGAACGAGAGGAATTCACATTCGTTTAATAAAAGGGGTTTTGTCGGGATCAGGAGTCTGCTTTGTGGGTTTTTTGGGGGAAGCTTAGGTCGGAACAGTTTTGGGGAGAAGAACCAACAGACTCAGGGACCCAACTGTAGACGCAAAAATGCATGGTGCGTGGGAAGAAAAGAATACCTTCTCTCGCTTATGTGGAGATACTCAGCAATTAAGTCAGCAGGAAGCGAATCGTGATTGACTGACAGTTCTTGGGTCTTCTGCCATAGGTCAACTTCATTGAAGGAAGGACAGAGAGTGACTTCTGCAAACTCTAGGTCAAGAGTCCCCAGCTTTTTTGGTACCAGCAGTGGTGATTTCGGCGCCGGGAATGGTTTCTCACACAACCCAAATCCCATACATACACAGATGAAGCTTTGTGTGCTTTGGTGGCCCAGTTTCCAAAGGGTCCAGTAGCAGATTGGGAACCCCTGGTCTAGATCAGTCTTTCTCTACCTTGAAGACATGTGGGCTTCAACTCCCATAAGTCCCTAAGTTGTCTGCATTGGTTGTGTTTATTTGTAATGTATATAATATAATAACAGAGTTGGAAGGGACCTTGGAGGTCTTCTAGTCCAACCCCCTGCTTAGGTAGGAAACTCTACACCACTTCAGACAAATGGTTACCCAACATCTTAAAAACTGCCAGTGTTGAAGCATGAGATGCAGATAGGTGTAAGAAAGCATTAGAATTGCTCGGCTGGATTAGTATAAAGATTTATTTAGACTGGCAAACTGTTCCACCAATGGCTGCACCACTTCAGACAAAGGGTTATCCAACATCTTCTTAAAAACCTCCAATGTTGGGGCATTCACAACTTCTGGAGGCAAGTGGTTCCACTGATTGTTTGTCAGGAAATTTATCCTTAGTTCTAAATTGCTTCTCTCCTTCACTAGTTTCCACTCATTGCTTCTTGTTCTATCCTCAGGTACTTTGGAGAATAGTTTGACTCCCTCTTCTTTGTGGCAGCCCCTGAGATATTGGAAGACTACTATCATGTCTTCCCTAGTCCTTCTTTTCATTGAACTAGATACACCCAGTTCCTGCAACTGTTCTTCATATTTTTTAGCCCCCAGCCCCCTAATCTTCTTTGTTGCTCTTCTCTGCACTCTTTCCAGAGTCTCCACATCTTTTCTACATCATGGCAACCAAAACTGTATGCAGTATTCCAAGTGTGGCCTTACCAAGGCATTATAAAGTGGTATTAACACTTCACGTGATCTTTATTCTATCCCTCTGTTGATGCAGCCTAAAACGGTGTTGGCTTTTTTTGCAGCCTGCTGCACATGGCTGACTCCTATTTAAATGGTTGTCCACTCCGAGATCCCTCTCGCAGTTACTACTATTGAGCAAGGCACCATATATACTATACCTGTGCATTTTGTTCTTCTTGCCTAAATGTAGAACCTTACTAATTTAAATTATTAGCTACCCAGCGCCATGTGTATGAGATAGGTAGCCATCTGTATCTATCCAATTGATAAATAAATCCTTGGTTTAAAAATATCCCATTAAAAACAGAAATGTAATGTATATTGGAGGTGAGGAGCCTTTGAGAGCTGCATGCAAAAAAATGGCATTTTAATGTATGTCGATTAGTGTACATTTGAAGTGACAATAATTATTCAACGTCTAAGACATAAATTACATCTATTTTCATTATCTCTCTCCATCCACCCATCCACACAATTTTATATCCATTATATTATACAATTATATGTCTCTCTGTGTGTGTGTGTATTTCCTGTTTTGTCTGTCAACGTTTAAATATAGTGCATCTTCTATGCAAAGACTTTAATACATTTTTTGAAGAATCTACACGAAAATCTGCAGATCTGCATAGATTTAAAAAGAAACCAACGAATTTCTCTCCCCTTATGCATTCATACGCATTTTTATTCTTTGCTTTTCAACTGTGCCTTGTTATTTTTATTATTATTATTATTTGGGGGGAGAAAAAACAGAAATCAAAGAATCCTCCCCCAAATAAATTCTACTATAAATAATTATAAGCGCCCATTACGGATTAATATGTAATACCAGCACAGATAACATGCCCCCCTCCTCCGAATGACGTCATCAATCTGGGGGCGGGGGCAGGAAGAGGAGGAAGAATGGTAAGGTTTTACCTTGTAGAGCCCCCGCCCACTTTTCCCTCCGCTCTTTCGCTTTTCATCCAATAGAAAGAAACCTGGGAAAACCCGCCCAATCAAATCAACCGATCACGGCGCGTACGAAGGAGGTGTGTGTGGAGGGGAGGCATCGGGGGGGCTTTTCTTCCCTTTCTAGCCACTCCTCGAACAGAAACGATGCCGGCCAGCCAATCCAACGACTCCTCGCTACTGTTCAACCTAGCATGCTGGTGAGGGAAAAAGATGGAAATTCCCTCTGCCTGACAGAAAGCGAGAGCGAAAGGGAGAGGAAACCAATCGCAAGGAGCGACGCCTGCTGCTGCGTGTTCTGATTGGCGAAGCTCGGGGACGGGGCGGGGAGGAGCGGGCGCTGCCAACCCAGACCGGGGGGGTTAGGGTGCGCTCGGCGAAGCTCCTAAGGGGATGGAGATGGTGGCGGTCGTCGCCGTCGATCCCCGTCTTCCCCCACGGGGCGCCGGGAGACCAAGAAGCCCCGCTGCGGCCGCCTGCGAAGGAAGGAGAGAACGGTAAATGGCGGGAAACGGCCGGAATGGCAGCCGGGCCATGGCGCTGAGGGGGGAAAAGCGTCGCGGCGGGTTCGGTCCCTTCGCCCTCCTTCCTTCGGGGTCCTCCGTGAGTCACGGTTCCCCCTCAGGAAAAACCGCGGCGGCCGGCGAAGCGCTCCTTTGAGGTCGCTGCACAACAGCCCTGCGAGGTAGGCTGGCCTGAGAGGAAAAGCGGCCGGCCCAGACTCGCTGACGGGGGAGACCGGGGTGGTGGTGGTGTCTCAAACGGGGCTTCTGCTATTTTATTAGAATTAGAATTATTTATTTTGTCAGTGCACAACATATGTACAATTATCATCATCATCATCATCATCATCATCATCATCATCATCATCATCATCATCATCATTCTCTTATTCATTAAACATGAAACTCAGTCAACTGAACATTTAAAATGTGTCTAGGAAATTATTATTATTACTATTATTGTTATTAGTATTTATTCATTGAACATGAAACTCAGTCATCTGAAATAATAATAATAATAATAATAATAATAATAATAATAATAATAAAATAATAAAATAATAAAATAATAAAAATATACTTTATTCATTAAACATGAAACTCAGTCAACTGAATATTTAAAAATGTCGCAAATACCATTGACTATTATTATTATTATTATTACTACTATTATTATATACTTTAATCATTAAACATGAAATTCAGTCAACTGAACATTTAAAAATGTCGCAAATACCATTGACTATTATTATTATTATTATTACTACTATTATTATATACTTTAATCATTAAACATGAAACTCAGTCAACTGAACATTTAAAAATGTCGCAAATACCATTGACTATTATTATTATTATTATTATTATTATTACTATTATTATATACTTTAATCATTAAACATGAAACTCAGTCAACTGAACATTTAAAAATGTCGCAAATACCATTGACTATTATT